ATATATAATATTAAATATAGTATTAAACTAATTAATATATTTTAATTTTTTAAAAAGATAAATAGTTTTGGTTATTTATGTTAAGTCGGTTAATCGATCAAACAAATCGACAATTTCGTTCGAGTTTAGTTTTGGGTAGGAGAAATTCATACAAAAAAATGCATATGCTGCGATTGCACAATTATGTTAGACGATTTGCACATTAATGACTATCATATTGCACTATATCAAACGAACTCGACCAAACTATGTGTTTGGGTCCAAATTTTATACTTTGGTTCGATTATTTGTTTTTACTTTTAAAATTTTAGTTATTTCGGTTCGATGTCAGCTTTATTTTTTTAAAATAACGAACTATATAAAAAATATTATTTTGTTATTTATATATTGCATGTCTTTAAAACCAAAAGTAATATAGAATATTAAATAAAAGAGTAAGCTAATCAATATATTTTCATAATTTAAAAAGGTAAATTATTTGGTTATTTATGTTAATTCGGCTAAACAAAAAAATAAATCGACAATTTCGTTCAGCTTAGTTTTGGGTTCGAGCAATTCATATAAAAGTGCATACACTATGATTGCACAATTGTGTTAGACGAATTGCATATTAATGGCTACCAAATTGCACTATATCAGACAAACTCGACCAAATTATGTGTTTGGGTCCAAGTTTTATACTTTGGTTCGATTATCTGTTTTTACTTTTAATTTTAGTTATTTCGGTTTAATGTCGGCTTTATTTTTCAAAACAATCGTACCGATCGAACATTATAAAAATATATTATTTTGTTATTATTTGTTTTAGATATTTACAACGAAAAGTAATATAAAATATTAAAGAAAACATCAAACTATTAAATTTTTATAATATAAATTATAAGATATTTCGATTATTTATGTTGGTTCGTTAAACCGATCAAATAAACAGACTACTTCGTTCAGTTTTAGTTTGACTGAAGGCAAATCGTAAATAATGCATACACTTCGTGTGCACAATAGTACTATACAAATTGCACATTAATGACTATCGAATTGCACTATAGTTCCCGAAACCGATTGAAAATAAAATTTTCGGTTCAAATTCTTATATTTCGATTCTAATTTATTTTTCTCTTTTAATATCAATTATTTCGGTTTGATGACGTATTTATTTTTAAAATGGCTGGATTATTTTAAATGTAATAAAAAATATTAAAATATTAAACATAGCTTGAGTATTTACAAATTTAGCTAATAACCTATTATATTCAATTTTATAAAATTGCAGTTAGTCCATGGGGTTTATAAATTTTTCAAAGTAACCCCCAACGTAAATCTAATTTACAAAAATTGAACCCCACAAATCAAGTTCAACAGATTCAATTCGTATATTTGAAACAAGAATCACTGTCATCGATCATCATCAATTCATAACATTCCAAAACGAGAATAACATTGCAATCATGACGATTTTCGGCGACAATATCTACAGTATTTAAAACGGCGGCGACAGAGGAGGAAGACACTAGACTGAGGCCGGGAGTGACGGGCTGGATGTCTGAACGGCGAGGAGTAAAGCAGCTCTCCATGGAAGTGTATCGATTGTCGAGACTATCAACTCTCCGTTGAAGTGACAGACTGCCGAGAACAAATCCGTCGGCAACGGGCAGGCGGCGTCGTGGCCGGTGTCGGAGAGGAGCTGGTAGGTGGGAGATTCTGCGAGCAGCGCCGACTGGAAGGTGGATATGATCTGTTTCGACCGAGGGAAGGCGGTGTGCTAGCGGCGGCGGGTGAATTCCGGTGGCTGGGGACTAGCGGTGGCCGGAATGTTTGTGTGTGTATGTGTGTTTGTGTGTGTGTGTGTATGCACGGTGTTTGCGTGAGGTTAGTGTGTGTGAGTGTGTGAGAGATAATAAAATTAGGGTTGGTGGCTGGGTGGGGTCCACTATATAATTGTGATGTATTGTACAATAACTAAAATACCCTTAATAAGGGGTCAAACACATATATTTGACTATAATATGACTATTAATTACGATATTACCATAGCATGTTTGACTAACATTAATAAATTTGAATTGATCATGGCCATTGACTTGATGGATCCGATGGTGTAGATTTATTCTTATTTCTTTCACTATCTACCATTCTCATGTGATCCCAACTCTATATATATAGAGTTGGGATCACATGAGAATGGTAGATAATGAACGAAATAAGAATGAATGTGGACCATTAGATTAATCACATCAATGGTCATGATTTAGTCAAATATTAAATATGCAGTCAAATATACTGTGGCAATTTTATAAATAAGTGTATAATTCGTGGTCAAATATAGACATTTGACCACAAATTAAGGGTAAATTAGACATTTGATTCAAACCCACCAACATGTGGGACCCACCACCACTCATATGAAACCTAACCCCCACCAACCCATCGCCACCTACCCCATCCCTCATTATCTTTCACCCACCCCACACACACACACACAAACACACACTGCACCACCTCGTCCCTCGACATCACAGCCACCGTCGGACCACCAGTGCGCCGCCGCCTCGTCCCTCGACATCACAACCACCGCCGGACCACCAGTGCGCCGCCGCCTCGTGCCTCGACATCGCAGTCCACCGCCGGACCACTAGACGCAACCACCGGTCTCTATCACACCACCGCCATACCACCAGGCGCACCGTCCACCGGTTGGCGTTGACCACCACTAGCACATCTTCCCGATTATCCGGCGCTGCCGACCTGCCAAATCGATGAACCAGACGGCGGTTCTCTCCTCCGACATCAATAGCCTGAGATTCGGCGGACAAATCGTGGCCTCCAACACATTCATGAGCTCGCAGCCATCGGAGCTCCTCCGCTCCATTTTTCCCCCCGCGCCTCCGCCGGCGGCGGCGGTGCTTTAGTGGCGAGAAGATTTTTCATGAATTTTAGGGATTTGGGTCTATTATGGTCTTAATCAAAACCAGAAATTAGGTTTATAATTTGGGCCAACTTTTGAGAATTTGATAGGTCTCAAGGACTTAAGTGCAATTTTAGAAATTTTTGATATATTACAATTTAATTTATGTACTAAATATGTAATTGATTAAATATTTAATAATTGTACATTATTGTTCAAAGCATTGCACATTAATGTTCAACTCATCGCACATGATTGTTCAATTCATTCCACTTTACAATCTAGTTCATTGCACGACAATGAAAAATAAAAGGTACAATGTGCGCGTTTATAAACACGCTCGAATTTAAAAAATTACAAAATTTATCAACAAAATAATTAATATATAAAAAATAATGACAATAATCGAATCAACATAATAAAATTTGTGCCGAATTCAAGTTAGTTGGGTCACGTTCGATTTTGTGCAATTCGGTAGGCATTTATGTGCAATTCATATAACTATAATGTGCACTCGTAATGCATACAAAAATATATATAAAAAATAGTATTATTTTTTTTATAAAAAATAAATAAATAAAATTGATAATATTTTTCATATAATTTGACATGTTTAGTTATTTTATTTATTTAAATGAAATAAACTGGACAGTTACCCAACTAATATTATTCGATTGATTATATTACTGAATTTTTTAGTATGTGCATCGTGTTATTTTATACGGTGCAACATGTTGTGTTATAAAGTGCAAAATATTACTGTACAAAGTGCAACATATTGATATTTGGTACGTTAGCATGCTTGTGTTTATTAGTACGTTATGTGATAAAGTGCAACATATTATTCTATAAAATATAAAATGTTATTTTATAAAGTGCGACATTACTAGCACTAGCTAATTTATATATTCCTAGATAAATTATGTGTATAATTGTACATCGAATTAATCTAAATAATTAAAATAGTTATTTATTATTTTTATTATATGATTTATTTATTCTTACAACTTATTGTATATTATTTTAATATCTTACATCATTTTTATTTAATATTTTTTTATTATTACAAGATATTTTATATTATTTTAATATATTATCTTATTTTAATTTAATATTTTATTTATTATTTAAATACATATGTATAACACAATATGTAACAAAATAACTTTTTATTAACTTTCAACATTTACAGATTTGACCCATGGGTTAAATTGAAATTTAACTAGAATTATTAAAATTGCACAGAAGTCACTATACATCATCTAATTCTCCAAAAAATATCCCAACCCCCCTTTCAATTTCAGCATTTGAAATCGTCGAATCTACTCCTCCTACACCGGCGACGGCGAGTTTCGAGCTTCAGGAGGTGGCGGAACGTCCGGTGATGGCGTCGCTCGATGATTTCCACCTACACCAGCCATGGCTCCTCACAACGACCGGCGATGGAAGTCACCGGAGATGAGTAGGGGCAGCGACGAAGGTTTGTCTTGAGAGGAATCGAAGGTTGGACGCCGTTGGATGTCGCCGGAGATGAACTGAGATCGCCCGCGAAAGTGGATGGGATTACAGTAGATGCGGCGGCGGCGGTGGTAAAGCACAGTGCAGCGATGGCGCGGCGGAGCCGGTGGTGAATATAGTGGCCAACCGCGTGTGCTGTGTGTGACCGCCGGTGGCGGCAGTGTGTGTGTTTTCGCCGGCGGTCTGTGTGTGTTGTGTGTGTGTGTCGCATCGAGGTGTGTGTGTGTTGTTTGTGTAACTGTGTGTGTTATTGTGTGTGTGCTGTGTGTGTCACGTGTGTGTTTAATTAATGGTCAATGTGTGTGTTAGTGTGTGAGAGAGAAGAGTGGGTGAGATGTGTGTTGTATGGGCCACGTGTCATTATATTATTGGATGTAGGTAAGTGTTCGTTGGAATGTGTTCCATAATTGATAATTAAAGTGTCCAAAATACCCTTAATGAATAAATAAATACTGAATTTTTTGTATCCGTTAGATCGTTTGATCCGATGATTGCGATGTATTCCTATTTCTCGCATTAAGGGTCATTCTCACCGGAGCGTGACCCTATATATATATATATATATATATATATATATATACACACGTCTGTAAATATTACCTGTCTACTGGGGCAATTATATATATATATGTATAAACCCAGTCATGACACCATTTTGCCATCGTGCAAAGGCCATATAAAGCCTGCCTCAGCATTCACACCAATTTCCTGAACCTAATTGTCCCGAGAAGAAGGTGATATATTCAACCGAGACTTGAGCCCCTCCCACTCCTCCACAAACATCATATAGCTGGAGTTTTCAGCCAGCACATCCACCGACACCTCCTTCCTCTCGACCAACCCCCGTGCATACCTCTCGAACATCCAAATCTCCCCCAAAAGCTCCAAACCCCTGCACGACGACTCCACCCAACAAACATAATCTCTAGCCTCCTCAACCTTAGCCCAAAAGCACGAGTCTTGGGTCAAGCCCGCGAACCTGCTCCTCCGCCCATTCTCCTCGTCCCCTACTTTCCTCTCCGCCCACCACCTATCAAAAATCTTGAACCTCTTCTCCCGACCGTAGCCCATGTAGTGCCCTTTCTTCTTGTGCATGCCAGTTCTGTAGTACTCGGCTATCTCGAGTGGCTCAACGAGAAGAGTGTAGAATCGGGAGGCGTTAACGTACTTGGGGAGCTTGTGGAAGTCGTGAGTGAGCTTATTGGAGTCGAGCATGGATAGGAGGTTGTCCCAGAAGATGGAGAGGCGAATGCGGTTCAGGTTCACCTTGAAGCCCCGTTTGGAGGCCCCTCTATGCTTGAAGGAGTCGTAGTAACCCGTGTGCTCGTCGCACAAGGCCTTGTACCACTCGATTTGGGCTCTCAGGGGAGTCACTTTCGACAAGAAGACAGCCATTTTCGCGGCGTTGAGATTGCGGCTGCACCCCACCTGTCTCGCCATTGTCAGACAGTTTTTCGCCGCCCCGTAGATTGGTTCCTGTATCGGGAGAGAAAATTTAGACATGGCTAGTGTGTCATGAACAGAGTCTAAATTAATTAAATTTCAGTGATATGTTGAATTTATGAATAAAACTGTGGCAAAATTGCATTTTTAATCCTGTGGGTTTAACGTCGTAGCAATGTTAGTCTCAAAGTTCCAACATTTTTGCTTTTGGTCCTGTGATTTAATATTTTGCTTCAATTTCAGTCCTGAAATGACAAAAATTGCAAAAAGTTTCCAAAATTCCCAGATTTTCGATTTTCAGTCCTCAAAGGACGGAATTGCAGCAAAATATTAAATCTCATGACCAAAAGGCGAAAAGTTGGAATTGTGGGACTAAAATTGCTATGACGTAAATCCAACAGGACTAAAAATGCATTTTTGTCTAAAACTGTAGAGATAGATTTTCCAAAAAGTTTAACTACCTCGGAATCCAATCCCGACGAATGCAACGCGAGTGCAGTCCCTGCCTCACTGGCCGACTCAGAAAGGGACACGTCTGCCGATGGCCTCTTGAGCAGGTAGTGCCAGCAGAGCCTCCCCACATAGGCCTCATACTCGAGATAATCCCCGACACACGTCGAACTCCCCTTGGCCACCATCATCAAGTAGAGCAACCTCACGACAGCCACCCCATTGTCCAAGCAGATGGCCCCATCACTCGTGCACAACATGTAGCTCCCAAAAGGCCAGAACCCGTGGGCCCCGCCCTCCAAAAGGACACGCAGCTCGTCAATGAAAGGGGCGAAAGGGACTAAGTCGTTTTGGGCCACGACATGGAAAAAGTGGCCAGCCCACTTCTCATGGAGAATGGCCCGCGAGAACGACTGGTTGCCGAGCATTGGAGAGCCGAACGTGACGCAGAGGACGTGGATGTTTGGTGGGAGGGTGGAAAGGAGCCAAAGGGCCGAGAGGGAAGCTACGGCACCTCCCAAGGAGTGCCCCGTGAAAACCACCGATTTGCAGCCATTCACCACTTCCTGCATCTGTCAACTAAATGCATTATTTAAAGCCAATTACACTAAGAGAGATATGCAGACCATTTTGTTCTTTTTTTTTTCCTTGGAAAAAAANCTTGGAAAAAAAAAAAGATAAAAATCTGTTTAATTCATTTTATTAGAAGAACAAGAGAAAAACGTATTTATCATATGCTAAGAGTAGGGTTGAGCACGGATCTTGGAGATTACCGAACCATAACGAAAATCGAATCGAATTTACCCCGAACCGAAAAATATATGTTGACCGTTTGACTATCTCCGAACCGAATCGTACCGAAATTTTTTTTAGTACGATTCTGGATATCCATAAAATACTTGTATCGAGAACCGAACCTAACTAAAAATAACCGTACCGAACCAAGGAACCGAACAAGAACCGATTCCAATTCATAAAATCCATATATATATATATATATATATATATACATGTATATTATTTTATCATATGTATTTTTTTCATCTTTGTACATAATTGTATTCAAATAAAATCTATTACAATTCATATGTATTGTACATAATTGAAAAGAAAAATAAATTAATATATTCTTCCTATTACAAAATTTGATAGCCAACATGTCAAATACTTTATTAAGAAAATCATTAAATATAACTTAATATAATCATTAAATATTTTATTAAGAAAATCATTAATATAACTTAATATAATTAAATATAACTTAATGTTTGGGAAACCGACCTTTATGAAGTAAGTCTTTCATAAAACTTGAACAAAAATTATTTAATTAAAGGTGATATATTCTAAAATAAAAATAAATTGAAATATATCTTTACCATAATATTAGATTAAGAACGGATATATCAATTATTTTATTAATAAAATTAAATATCTTCACTTTTTGAAAACAAACTTTATATGTACTATATCCAAATCTCAAGATATCGACCAGAAGAGATTAATTTATTTGAACATAATATATTTCTAAAATATCCTTTTATTTAACAAGTAACTATCTTTAAATTGACTAGTATTGTTCATGTATGCCTTATCACTTGCGGATTTTTTTGGCATATAAACGTTTAGCATATAATCTTTCAAATTAAATTATGATATTTTGCAACTAAAAGATAATTATCACTTTTTTTATAAAATAAAATAAAAAAATTTAACCACCTATTATTACTATTAATTGACGAAATATCTTTTGAAATTAAGAGAGGTTTATGATTTTCTTTCATCCATGATATGTACCATCTAACATGCAATTAGCAGATTTTTCTAAAAAAATAAAATAAAATAATAAAAAAATAAAAAAAATAAAAAATTTAAAAAATCTCCGATCCGTAACGAGTCGACCCATTAGAAAAAATAAAAAAAAAGTCGGTTCGGTTCGAAACGGAGATTTGTTAGAACCGGTTCGGTTTCGGAGATTCAGTTTTTGGAATCTCCGAAGTTCGGTTCGGTTCCGGAGATTTCTGGATCTCCAAACCGAACCGACCCGTGCTCAGCCCTAGCTAAGAGCATTAAACTCTAATTTAGTTTATGAACAAAAAATTTAAAAATGGAAAACAAAGTTTTGGTTCGCATTACTTACTACAGTAGTTTAATTTATGCTAATTACTTGGTTAGTTGTTAGGAAAATTAACTGTATTTTAAATTCTCTCTCGAAGATATATATAGTATTGCGCTACATGTAACGCAGTACTATTCACCATCCCACAATTTTTTTTTTCAAATTTTAGTTTTATAATTAATTTTTATTTTTAAATTTTATAATGATAAAGTATACATAAATTTATTTTGTTAAATAATTTTAAATTTTGATTGTATAGTTGCATTTTATTTTTATTTTTTATTTTTTTTTGTACTAATATATTTCATGTAGAGTAAAATTTAGCGCGAACAACTGGAAACGAATGTTAAATTTCAACATTTTCTACTCTACAGTAGAGTAAACTCTAATAGAGTAGAAGATTGGAGATGGTTCATACTTGTGAAAATGTAACATCCTAAATATATTGTTCATTGCTCCCTCCTTTTAGTCTTTCATTATATTCCTTTTATTTATGTTTGTTATTGAAACAGGGAATCAAAGATCCAATTTTATTGACCAACAGGGGTTGGCTCAAGTCGTAAGCAACTTGATGTCGCTTAAGTAAGGTCTCGGGTTCGAGTCTTTGTGGATGCAGAAAACTCTTGTTGGGAGACTCACCCACCACTGCTAGGTGTGCGACCCAAGTCGACCAACCGATTAGTCGGGGCATAGCTCCGGATACTGTGGCTGGCTATCAAAAAAAAAAGATCCAATTTTATTATTAAAAAATTATAGTGAATAAGAGAATAATAATCCCAATAGTTCGTAAAGTTTTCAAGCTTCCTTGTTTTTAACTTTTTATCCCATTTGCCGTGAAAGCAAAAGTTGGGAAGACGTAAAAATCTGATGTAGCGAATGGGTATCGACAAAGGAATTAAGAAAGAACACTCGATTAGTCGACCAACCGATTAGTCGAGGCATAGCTCCGGATACTGTGGCTGGCTACCAAAAAAAAAAGATCCAATTTTATTATTAAAAAATTCTAGTGAATAAGAGAATAATAATCCCAATAGTTCGTAAAGTTTTCAAGCTTCCTTGTTTTTAACTTTTTATCCCATTTTCCGTGAAAGCAAAAGTTGGGAAGACGTAAAAATCTGATATAGCGAATGGGTATCCACAAAGGGATTAAGAAAGAACACTCGCTTTTTTTAGTTCTTAATAAACAAGGGGGATTGAGAAAGAACTCTGATTTTCTTATTTCTTAATAAAAAATTTATACCCTAAAAAAAGTAAGATGAAAGTCTTAAATATTTCCATCAAAAGAGATCTACAAATATAACAATACTGACTAAATAAAAATACTTAAATAACAATGAAAATAATAGTAATAAATAACTAGACTAATGACGTCGAATAATCATGCTCTTCAGAAAAGCCAATACAATCTCATCTCCATCATTACATGATGGAGAAGAGATATCGTCTAACATCACTGATTTAGGATATATATTTATTTATATTTACCTTTATTTTTTTTTTTTTTTGGTCGAAACGATAGAAGATTTATAAAACTAGGACAACGGGAACAACGTTCGAATACAAAGCAAACTAAAACTAGAAACATGGGAGGACACGCATGCAAGCGGCCTAGACGTCCCACTCGGACATAAACAAAACCTCACAACAGAAATATAAACAAGAGCAAGAAAACTAAACCACTGCAAGAAGCCTAGTTTAGAATCCCTACCCTAACAACAAATCAAAAACAGAAAAGCAGCAAAAGCCAACAACAGAAAAATTATAATGAAGAAAACTCAATCCATTCCCTCGTTGCGCAACGGAGAATGAGTTGAGGAGAAAGGTAAGAGCCTTCAAACAACCAGAGATTTCGGGATCGCCACAACCACCATAGCATGTAGGTAGTTAGTTGGATCCTTTCTTCTGCCACCTCACATTTGATGCTCGAGCAAATATGTCTCCACCAAGAGCTGAAATGAAGATTTGGTTCTTTGAGGCTTTCCCATTGGATAGGGCTGATATCCCACAGTCTAGCAGCTTTCTGACAGTAAAAGAAAACATGTTCCACTGTCTCTGGTCCCTCTCCACAACTTTGGCAGCAGACATCAATGTTCAGCCCTTTAACAAACAAAGCAGTTTTGACAGGAAGAGTTCCTGAACAACATTTCCACAGAAGTTGCTTGATTTTGCTGTTGATCCTCAGTTTCCAAGTTAAGTTCCTGGCTGCTTTGGTAGCCTTTGAAGTAGTGCTACTTTCAGGAATGTCCAGTTCTTGAACCTTGCTCAGAATCAAATCAGTGTAAATTGAGGAGACAGTGAAAAGGCCTTTATTGTTCAAGCTCCAGAAATTCCTGTCAGGCCTATTAGGATTAATGGTGGAGATGTTTAAAATGGCTGCACTCTCTGTTTCATTGAACACATTCTGAACCAACCAATTGTTCCAACCAGTATGTCTGTCATCAAAGAGATCTTTAACCCAGATTAGGTGTCCTCTAGCTATAGGCAGCAGGTTAGGCTTCTTACCTTTTAGGAGTGGCACCCAACTAGGATCTTCAATCTTTGTATCAACCCCATTTCTAATTTCAGTTCTGAAGCCTCTAGCAAAGTCTGGGAGGATGGTAACCCAACTGTTCCAAAGCCAAGAGCTATTTTGAGTTTTTGTAGCTTCGAAAATAGTTGAGGATGGGAAATACCTGCTTTTAAGAATTTTGCTCACCAACAATTCAGGATATACAGTGATTCTCCAAAGCTGTTTACAAATAAGAGCCTTATTGAACAGCAACACATCTTGGAAGCCCAAACCACCTTCACTTTTGGGAATTGTTAAGGTGTTCCATGATTTCCAGTGCAGCCCTCTTTCATTTGATTCAACCTTGCTCCACCAGAAGAGTGCACACAGCCTTGATATCTCTTTGACAACAATCTTTGGAATTTTGAAACAAGCCATAGTAAAGACAGGCAGGGCATTAAGAACAGCCTTTATTAGGACTTCTTTTCCAGCTGCAGATAGGAGTTTGTTTTTCCAGCTTGTGAGCTTTGATCTGACAGCATCCAAAACATAGCCAAAAGCTTCCTTCTTAGATCTTCCTATGCCGAGGGGAAGGCCTAAATATCTGCTGGATTGGTGAATTTTGATACCTGGGAGAGCTTGGCAGATGTTGTGCTGCAGGGGTAAAGGAGTGTTCTTGCTGAACATAATTGTGGATTTGGCCATGTTCACCTTCTGTCCAGTGAAAAGTTTGTACCTTTCCAGAATTGAAGTAAGAATGTGAACTTGCTCTACCTCAGCTTTACAAAAACATAAGGTATCATCTGCAAATAGGAGATGTGAAAAGCTAGGTCCATCCCTTGAAATTTTCAATCCTGTTAGAGTTCCATTGTTGACAGCATCTTGAATCATGGCAGAAAGGAGTTCAGCAATAATGAGAAACAGGTATGGTGATAAAGGATCACCTTGACGAATTCCTCTGGAAGGATGGACAAAACCCCCAGTAGCCCCATTAACATTAAAAGAGAAAGTGGCAGTAGAGATGCATGACATTATCAGCTTGATAAACTTCAAATCAAAACCCATTTTCACCATAATCCTATGAATACTCCCCCATTCCACCCGGTCAAAAGCCTTCATAAGGTCAAGCTTAATGGCCAAAAAATAATTCCTACCTGTTCTGTGTCTGCTTAGGAAATGAAAGGCCTCATGGGCTATGATAACATTGTCTAAGAGCTGCCTACCCTTAAGAAAAGCTGACTGGCTGTCATTGATACAACAATCAAGGCATGATTTCAATCTTTGGGCCAAAATTTTTGACAGGATTTTGTAGATAACAGTACAGAGACTGATTGGCCTAAAATGAGAAAGAGACTCTGGATTCTGACACTTGGGGATTAAGGTGACTAAGGTGTGATTCCAGTATTGCAAGAGAGTACCTGACTCAAAGAAGCTTTTAATGGCTGCAATCAAATCAGGCTTTATTGTGCTCCAGAAGCTTTGGTAGAATAGAGCCTGCATTCCATCTTCACCAGGTGACTTCTCAGCAGGGAGACTAAAAAGGGCAGAGTGAATTTCTTCATCCTCCACTTGAGAGAGAAGCTTTTGATTCATTTCCAAAGATATTGTGGTAGGAATCAGTTGCATGAGAGTGTCTCCACCAGTTGAACCTTCAGAAGTAAAGAGATTGGTATAGTACTCAGAAATATGTTCTTCAATCTCTGACTTCTCTGTGAAAGTGTGATTGTCAGCATTAATAAGCCTGGTTATGGAGTTTTGCTTTCTTCTGAGTCTAGCATAGGCATGGAAGAACTTGGTGTTGGCATTACCTTTTTTCCACCATAAGATTTTGGCCCTTTGTTTCCAATAGAGTTCTTCTTGTTGATGGGCCTCATTGAGATCATTCCTAACCTGCTCCCACTCTTCCCATTTCTCCTCTCTGTCTTCCTCTCTAAGCTCCTCCAATCTCTTAGTCAGGTTTTTGATGGCCCTCTGGTTTGAAGATTTAAACTGAGAACTCCACAGAAGGAGGGCTATTCTGGTTTCCTTGATTTTCTCCTTCAAAATAAAGAAAGGAGTGCCTGACTGTGGTTTGGCCCAAGCTGTTCTAACCACTTCATTGATACCCTCCATTTTGAGCCATCTACTATCAAATTTGAATCTGCTCATACTCCTGGGTTGTTGATCTCCACTGTCCAAGATGATCATAGAGTGGTCTGATGCACTTCTGAGGTAATTCAAAATAGAAGCATTGTGGTTGGCCTCTAACCATGCTGATGAAGCAAACCCTCTGTCTAATTTTTCCTCCACATAGCCCTCTGCTGCCCTGTTATTAGCCCAAGTGTATTGGTAGCCTTTCATGTGAATCTCTTCCATTTGCATACTGGCTATAAACCTGTGGAAATCCAGGAAACTGCTTGTTGGCCTTTGTCTACCTCCTTTCTTGTCCTCTTGATAACAGATGTCATTCCAGTCTCCCATGATTAGCCATGTATCCCCCCATTCATTTTTATCCAAGATCAATTGTTGCCTCTGAGCTTCCCTTATGGCTTTCTCAGTGCTCATATAAACAAAAATGGCCCAAGAACTGCTGCCTTCCTTCAGACTATACTCCACTGCTATATAGAAATCTTTGCAGACCACCTGGATGACATTAACCTCCAATGTCCAAAACAAAACCATACCACCACTGGTTCCTCTGGGATTAACTATTGAACACCTATTTTCAAAACCCAACTTTTTACCAACAGCCTTCACAAAAGAACTTTGTTTTTTAGTTTCAGAAAGAAAAAGGAAAAAAGGATGGTGAGCCTTAAAGGACTCTTTGATTTGGGAAACTGTAGAGGGCCCACCCAACCCTCTACAGTTCCACACCGCAGCTAACATTTGTCACTCGGGTGCCACTCCAGGCTGGCAACCCCCACCTTGTCAGATGATGATTTAAGTTTCTTGCTTTCATTTTCAGTTTGATTATGAGCCTTGGTATCAGGATGATATTGCTGCAGTTCTTCTCTGTCTCTCTTGCCTTGAGTGGAGAAAGGGTCTCCAATGGCTGTTTGATCTTGTCTTTGTAACCTGCCAGAGTTGTTGGTAGCTCTTTTCCAAGTCTTGCCTTTGGTTTTCTGAGTTTCGGCTGTGACTGATAGGGTTAGGGGAATATGAGGCAGAATGGGTTCAAGATCCATGTCTATAGTTCTAGAGGAGCTGCCTTTGTCGAGGGGCAATGAAATGGAGGGATGATTTTGGTTGTTTGGAACAGTTGGGAGCTTGACAATCTGGGAATTATGAGTGTGTGAGGGAACTGTATCCTGAGTAGATTGAGCTTGAAGAGGAATGAGTTGGTTGTTATCATCAACATGGCTGTTAGAATTATGAAAGGGTGCTGTATGAGGCGATGGAGAAGGAGTATCATTATGGTTAGGACTTCTAGAGCCTGAGGAGTTCAACCCAGACCAATTCTGTGCTTCCTGTGCTCGCAACCAATCCCCATACTGCCCCTCATTCACTGACTTCGCTTTAATATCAACCATTCTCTTTGCACACCCTCTGTCTAAGTGTCCTATGTGACCGCAATAGTGGCATAGGTTAACGAGCCTTTCATACTTAAAACCAACACTAACTGCTTGATTATTCAGTCTAATATTTGCACATCTAGGAAGAGGATCATTGATGTTAATAGAAACCAAGAGGCGCATAAGTTTACCTCCATGACTGCCTGCTCCCACTACTACCACATTGTCAATATTATTGAAGACTTTCCCGATTTTAAGCCCAACTTCCGTGCTAAGCCAGTTAAGAGGAAGATTGAAAACTTGGACCCAAATCTTTAGTTCTGAGAAAACTGGATGTGCACTTGATAGCCCTTCTTTCCATTCCGATAAAACTAGGTATTGATTGTCTAAAATCCAGTTGGTTCCTTTGGAGACTCGCAGAAGATCCTCTCTACTCTGGAAAATGAATTGGAAATAATTTGGGCCAAGCTCTTTGACGTCCATTGTGCCTTGTAATCTCCAGATTCGGCTCATAGTTCGATTCATACCCAGCCAGCTAGCTCGCCTGTCGCCAATCACTTTTCCAAACAAACTGCGATTGCATTCATCAGCACTAAGCTTAATATCATCTTGCGCTATGTCAATGAAGTTGTGCTCTCGATCTGAAAGAGAAAATCCTTGCAATCGATTAGCTAGCTCGTCGTCTTGCCCAATGCTCGCCGGCGTACCCATTGGGAAAAAAACTGCTCACAAAACAGAACGAAGAATTATTGGGGGAATTACATCACTTAGAATATAACAAAGGAATCCTAATCACCAATCGAAGATCAAAATGCCCAACGTGAATCGCTCTCAAGGAGAGAATGTGAATCGCTCTCAAAGACTCTTTTACTTGGATGTGGAAGTTGATATTGAATAAAAAACATCGTATTTGAGATTGAAACTCTTTTATATTCTCCCACTCGTACGCTTATCTACATCAATTGGTATCAAAAGTAAGCACGATTCATGGTGCTGCCGCGAAGACAAGATGCTGCAGATGACAGGCGTGACGCCGTAATCTACAACCGGAGCTTCAAGACCAAGGGGTTTAGCCACTGACTCGAGAAGATGGGTCGTCAGATTGCGGATCTGTCACCGAAGATCAGGGACATACGTCTAACTCTCCATATCATGGTTCGGGACGAGCAAACGAATCGCGGCTAGGCCGGGGGCCAAGGCGGTCACGGGGGTTTCGGAAGTGGGCTTGGCGGACGAGGCTTTGGCAGGGACCCTCTCCAGCAGTCCCCACCACCTCTGTACGGTGCTGAAGACGACGAAAGTAACTGGTCCACCATTAACTTGTTCGGTTGTTGTCCAGCCCGGCAGGAGGCCGAAGAGATCGACGATGGTCGTTATCGCGAGCAACGATGACCAAACGTGGATTTTGAGGACGTCAGGGGTCGTGCGGTGCATAGCAGAGCAGAGGGTTACGGAGACTACCAGGATCGCGATGCGCGACATTGGGATGAGGGTTTCGCTAGCTTCAGGGGTTGCGATGTATAATGTGAAAATGACGGCTTCGATGAGTTCAATGGCCGCTTTGCGTCGGGCCAATGCGGGTTTCGGGAGGCCGAGGGTGTCGGCTTGGACGGCATTCGGCTGCGCAGGCCCGCGGTTCGAGGGGTCGCACTCATTGTTCATCGAGGAGGTCGGCGACTCCAACTTGGGCGGTTTCTACGACCATCTGCCGGTTTTCCATGAGGAGGCCCAGAGTCGAAGGAACATCTTTGCGGGGACATGACCCCTGCCCTCGTCATCTGTCGTTCCTGTTTGTTGCCACGTGTGTCGTGGAACGTAGCAGAGGATGTTCAATGGTCGTCGTCCAAAAAATAATTTGCTGTAGTTTATGAATTTATGTCTGCCCTAGCAACGATATTTGACAAGAAGTCTAATCCTTTGTTAGAGCTTGGGATGGGCCCATACAATACAATTGGGGAAGGTGGAGGGGGGGG